CACGCACATAGTGGGATAGCACTGAGACCAAGGTCTGACTAAGTCGCTTTACTGCTCCGTTGCACTGTGAATGAAATTCTATTGTTCGGAGCTTCCATGTTTTTAGCAGATGGCATACATCCCGGAACAATCTCGATGTAAAATTAGCGCCTTGATCCGTCAAGATTACAAGTTCTACAAAATGTTTAGTGACAGTTTCGGCTTTTTTGTCTTGCATTGCGACAACGTCTGTGTATTTGGTAAGATGATTTACAAACATCAGAACATAGCAGTTTCCTTCCGCCGGAATTGAACACGGCCCTACGATATCCGTTTCTGCCCTTTGAAATGGTTGTGCAACCTCTTCGAATGCTTGCAGAGGTGCTCGCCTTTGATTGTGTTTCAATTTATGACGCGTACACACACACACATTGAAAAGTACTTTTCTTTTAAATTCTTTTGCCTGTCTCTCAGTATCCAAATTAAAGTGTATCATGATATATTTGTTTCAAGTTTTTCTTAAGCCATTCGGAGACAACAATTCAGTTCTTCACAAGGCGGTCTTGCTTCAACCCAGTGCGTTCTCTTTGACAAAGAAGGCCTTGAGAGTCGATACATAGCACATGGATGTCTTATCAGGTTGCTTTTTGAATTTGGTGATGAACATGATTAACTTTCTATCATCTCTCTGTGCCCAAATAAAACGATTGAAATCACTATCGTTCATAAGGAATAACTTCCTGTCTACAGCTCTGCTGAATTCGTTAGCGTCCTGATTCATTTTCCCCGCCCGATGTTCAACTTTAAAGTTGTTTTCTTGCACTAGCAGGGTTCTAACGTGCTAAACGTGAATCGGGGTCATGGGCGTTCATCAGCAATTTGAGTGCACGACAGTAGTTAATCACATTGACCTTTCTTCCGTCCAAGTAATACCTGAAATGCCTGACTGTCCAGACTACCCCCCAACATTCTTGTTCTGTTGCTGCTTATTTATTTATCGTGGGCAATAATCAACTTTCCTGCTGGCATATGCAAAAGGGTGCTCGTTTCGCTCAAACTCTCGAGCGAACACAGCTACCAGTGCATTCGATGAAGCGCACGTTATCAAAATTCATGGCTTCGTAAAGTCCGGGAACCTCAACAGAGAAGCCTGTGTCAGTTCATACGAACATCAAATGCCGCTTCAGATTCTATACTCGAACTGAGTGTGCCCTTCTTTGAAGTAAGCGATGTCAACGATTTGGCGTTTTCGAAAAAATCAGGTATGTGATGTCTGCAATATACAATGAGACCAAGAAATTGGCATTTTTCTTTGACTGTCGTCGTTCCAGGAAATTCATTAACACAGTGCGTCTTTTCTGGATCTAGCCGAAATTCTTCCTCTGACAAAAAGTGCCTGAAATATTTCAAATCTCGTATAGGAAATTGACATTTTGAGGGTAACAATTTCAGTCCTGTCGCTTTCTGTCGCCTCAGGACAGTCTCAATATCTTTAAGATACTGGTCCAAACTCTGGAAGAAGATGATAATATCATCTAGATAGACGTAGCATGTCTTCGCAAGAATTCGGGCCAAAGATGCATCCAGTGTACGCTGAAAAATGGCAGAGTTATTAACCAACCCCATTGGCATACTTCTCCACTGATACTGCCCACTTTGTGTGTTAACCGATGTGTTCTCTTTGTCACCTAGTTCCATCTCTATTTGCCGGCAACCGGTGGCCAAATTACGACATAAAAAGTAGTGCCAAAAGAGCGAGCTTTTCCTCCATATAGGACAATAGGTAAGGATCAACTCGAGTCATTTTGTTCAAATTATCTGTAGTCGATAAACAACCAGAATGACCCATCATCCTTCCCTACCAACAAAGCAGGGGCTCCCCTCGGGGATCTGGAATGCTCAGTTATGACCTTCCCCAGCATTCCTTTGACCTGACGCTTCATATCTTCTCGCTTCGCATGGGGAATTATGTAGGCTCTTTTTGTATACAGGTGGATCCGCTAATGTTAGTACACGGTGCCTTATCCCGTCGCAACGTCCAAGGTCTAGCTGATTTATGGCGAACGCGCACTTTTACTTTGCAAGACGATCTAGGACCGACGTTTTTTCTTCTACTTGCAAGTGGTGAAGATCGAAGTGCTCAGAAGGATACCAATCTTTAGTTTCTGCATGATCGTCGCAATGCAAAACGGGATTTCTAGTTGCCCCTCCATCCACAATACTTATGATGTCTGTAACTAGCTGATTCTTGGGTACACCAAGTTTCCGTAATGCCAGGTTGACCATCCTCACCGGCACCTCGCCCTCATTGTTGATACAAATTACGAACTGCCACATCTGCTCCCAACAGTCCGTGTGTGTCTATTTCACGCATCTTTGCAACACACTTTCTTGAAGTCGGCATCAAATGATTCACTCTGGCAAAAGCCATTGCTTCCGACATCGGTAGTGTTACACATTATTTTTGTAAGAAATACACTACAACGTACACTTTCTGTTGGTGGTGCATCAGATAATGCGTGGTGACCGTCTTCTTTTTTCCAGTTAAGAATGGGGACGCTTTGCCCCTTTATTCTAAGATTACCTTCATATTCAGGAATATCAATGCCATGCTTTCGCACAACATCTTGGCCGAATATTTCAACAACTGAACACATCACATCATCCGCCCGTGCTAGACAGGGATGTTAAAAAAAAAAGGAATCTCAAAACGACCCGATGTTTTCAATGGTTTCCCGTAATTCCATTAAAGTCCGGCGGGCCTGCGCTACTTAAACGTCAAAAGGAACATCTCTATTAGGATTTCGTAACACAGACCCTTTCATGAGCGTTACCTTAGATTCAGTATCGACAATAAATTTGGTCACTGTAGTTTCAACTTGGCACTGGACATTTGGACTGCTCTCACCACATAACCTAACTACATCCTCTTTTGTATCGGCTTTCTTCTCGATATGTCGTACAGAAAGGGCCCTTCTAGTTTTCCTAATATCTTCCCGCGCCCTGGCCATATTTTTTTTACCCAGTCCTTTTCCCGTGTTTCTATTTCATCGAAAAATAAATACCTGGCGATTTCGCGCAATGTGGCCTAGTTGCCCACAACTGAAACACCTGGGAGAGTAACTCTCCTCGGTATAAATTGAAGTACCATGGTCCCTATTCTCACGAGTTGCCGTTCCTTCCAGAAGCATTGTTTTAATTCGCTCAACGAGACTTCGGACTTCTTTAAATTCAGAGTCAATTGCAACCACTGTTCGTACCACCTGGTTTGATGTAACCTGTTGGTCATTCCTCTCCTCTTCATGTGCTACGCTGACAGCTTCCTCAAAGATTTTAGGATAACTTGAGAGAACAAAACTTCTCACTGGATCTCTTAGTCCGTGCACATATCGTGTGAGCATTTTTTCTTCAACGATTCTTTGGCAGCGTCCTCCTTCTGCTTGGCTCGTTCACCATCGCAAAAAGCCAGAGTTTGCTGCCCCAATCGTTGCACACGAGTCGTAAAGGCCCTGACATCCTCATCTGCTTCTTGACAAAGCCATATAAACTTTTCAAGTCGAGCGCTTCGTGACTCGCTATCGAATCGTTCAAAGAGCAACTGTTTAAAGTTCGTAAATGGTACGACGGACTTCATCCTCTCTTCGTGCCACGCGAAACTTATAGGCCCTTCCTGACATTTTGAACTTGGCAATTCGGATGTTCTGCGCGTCGCTCCCGCCACTTATCTGTGCGACCGGTTCGAGCACTAAAATAAAATCGTTCAGAGAGGTTCCGTTTCCATCTCCGGAAAATATGGGCACCATTCCCCCCAATACCAACAACGTTGCATTTAGGGATCCTGCTATCGCTTGTCCACCACCGCTTTTATGGTTTAAGGTTACTCGGTTCATTTTATCAAGGTTCAAAAGAGGGACGGTTATTCAGCCACTTATGAATGTCAAAATTTTTTTAAATATCCCACCATTTCCACTAATTGTGACGCCTCTAGCCGCCACAACACCTGCGTATTTTATATGTTGTAAAGGGTCCTTTCAATTTCATCGACTTTCCGAAATGAACCATTTTTTTACATTTACAATTAGTATAAATTAAAGAAAGGACAAGAAAACGCAGAAAATTTTAGAAAGTGATTTATATAAATGAAGAGGAAAAGCTATTTACATGAAACAAGAGTGACTGTCATAGTCCGTGTATATCTAGAGTTCAAGGTAGGTGACTCAACTAGCTGTCGTCTGCACCACTCACGGCCGTCCACCATATTTCCGTCTCTGCCCGTTGTTAGGAAGAATGGGGATCCATGTCGGTGAGAACCTCTCCAAGTTCTAGGGATAAAGACGGCGTCTACCCTGACCTTCTTAAGGTCGCCTTCTACCGCTCTGCTCAACTGGCTTTTCCGCTGTCTCTTCCTATTCTTTTTATATATAGTCTATCTCCCTTTATGACACTGTTCTTGTGCACAGCACACGGCTTCGATATAAAGCTAAATAATCCAAAAAAAATACTGCTTCGTCAAAAACCGATAATCGTTTTGTCTGGTATAGAAACTCTAGAAACTGATCGCTATAAGCGGTACACTGTTATAAGTGGTATCGTTATATGTGAATTGCACTATAATTAAAAAAAGCTTGATCTGTCCTCTATCGGAAATAAAATTTGTGAGACAAAAAAATAGAGTAGTTTTTGATTAATTTGGCTTATTTTATTTAGATAATATATTCCGCTACAGGTTTTGTTCCAGGACACATTTATTTTGTATATCTAGGGAGTGCCAAGATTAGAATAAGATCGTTTTTGAACGTTATAGTTTAAGGTAGTATCATAGAAATGTTTTGCAGTGACAAAGAGCAGACACATAAACATTGGTATTTGCCAGTAAATTTTAAACCACATAGTTTCTTAAACATGCCGGAGCTCGGGAATCGGGAATTACTATCAAAAACACTTTACTTCAAACTTAGCCAAACATAGTAAATTGTAATATCAGCTGTACGTAAAATGATCTATTGTCAGATAGAACTTACGGTTATAGGTGTCATACAATGGATATTCAAGTTCTCGTTTATATATTTCACTTTCGTTCGTTTTCCGGCACTCTCCATTGTCACAAACTCCAGTTAGGATCGTAAAAACATAGCCAATGCCTTTATGCTTCAGCTAAAAAAAAATGATACAAAATATTAATTTGCATTCAAATTAAATTATGTAGTCTTGTACAAAAATGTTAATTTTCATTGTAATTTCTGTCTGCTGAGTTTACTAACATCTCAAGAAATATTTTTTTTTTTTTTACAAACCAAGTAAGAGGTTGCATTCAAAGAAAACCTCAGTTCCCAAAAAACTTTTCGCGCTCGTTAGTCAAAAAATGTTTACGTTTTTTTTTCCTACGCCGCAGAAGAATTTAACAAAGAGGAAGCGTCCAGAAAGGCCTGTAAGATTTACATGTAAAGATATTAGGAATTACAGCTACGGATTTTACCTGTTTGCGCAGCTCAATATTTATCTTATTATCTGAGGCATTTGTTAAAAGATTTAAATATATGTATATTTTTGCCATAGAATGTCAATATTTGCTGTGAAAAATACGTCGCCTCGTAGCCATGAAATTTTCAGGAATTTATCACACCGGATCACTTAATCAGCTCAGATTAAAAGTAACATTGTAAAATATTCGGTTTTTACCTAGGTATAATAAGGGGATACTGCAACAAAATTCTAGCTCCTATATTATTGTCTAAATGTCAACCACGTTCTAGCCACACCCGTGAAACGCCTTTTTTTCACTTCCGAAAAGCCTTTGATACGATTCCGCACTGCTTTATTTTAGAAAATCTTAGGAGTCTAGATATTGATAGGAACGCGTACTATTGGATTGCTAACTATTTGAGCGATCGTAAACAATGTGTAGTTGCAAATAGGGTAGAGTCTTCACCAGTTGATGTAACATCCGGAGTACCACAGGGCTCCGTGCTTGGGCCATTCCTCTTTTTAATTTTTGTAAGTGACATAACGCAAGGAATTGCCTCACTGATAAGACTGTACGCTGACGACTGCATTTTATACCGCCAAATTAAGTCAGACTCTGATGTATCGGCTCTTCAAAACAATTTAGACAGAATGTGTTTTGTGGTGTTCAAGATGGAAAATGACTTTGAGCATCTTGAAGTGTTGTCATGTAAGGTTTACAAAAAAAAACGCAACGTTCTCCAGTTAACGTACACTTTACACGGAGGAACTTTACTCGTTAAGAAAGAAGGTAAATATCTGGTTGTACTTTTTTCTGATGATTTGAGATGGCTTTCAGATGTGAACTACATAACAGGGATAGCTAGTAAAACGCTGGGTTTTCTAAGGAGAAACTTCTCGCGCGCTCCACCATCCCTCAAACAGACTCTTTTTCTCATGTGTGAAGCCCATTCTCGAGTATGCTTGCGTTGTATGGGATTCATTTCAACAGTGCCTCATTCATAAAATTGAAAGAATTCAAAACCGTGCTGCAAGATTTGTGACAAATAATAACAACTTTCGTAGCAGTGTCTCCGCAATAAAAAAAATATTTACAAGGGAACTCGCTTGCTGTTAGGCGTAAGTATTTGCGCCTAAATATTTTTGTACAGTATCTTCTATGGCTTATCTAAACTTTAAAGATCACGTTACGTGTTTGAGTCATTTTATGTATCGCGCAGATTAGATCATGACCAAAACGTTCGTTAGTATACGTCAGTCTTATTTGTTTCGTAACTTTTTCCTCCCACGAACGATAAAAGAGTGGAACAGCTTGCCAAGCGAAATTGTTGCCTTGCAAAGTCCACATTTGTTTTTTTCGCAACTCCAGCATTGTCTCTGAACACTATATTTGAGTGTAAATATATTATCAACGCATTTGTGTTTCTTTCCATGCAGAATAAGCTGGTTGCTTTTCAATGTATGTTTATTTGCGTGTGCGATTTTGTATATTACTTTGTGTACTTGTCAGCAACGAGGTCGCAAGACTTGTCCCTCAAGCAATAAACTGGGCCATTCAGGTCACTTAATGGTATTTATCAAAGACTGTCTGTGAATGGTTTGTACTGGACTTGCAGCAGGTTATAATATTTTAGTTCTACGACTCACATTTTGCCGGTACCATTGTCTCTCGGGTGAAATTATTGGTACGGGAACCCTCCAATATGAAGGAAATTTGATAATTTATCATGAATAAACTAAATGGCGCTTCCCTTTGCATATGGTCTATTACCCACTAAAGTTGAGGTCAACGTATTTAGTGACGCAAGCACACAAGCCTATGGCACTGCGATGTACGTGCGCTCAACGAACACAAATTGCACGATTTCAACAAGATTGTTAATCAGCAAACGCAAATTGGCCCCCATAGAAACAGCAACCTTGCCACGAATAGAGTTAGGAGCCACCATATTCAACAACATATTTAAAACATCCAGCTTTAGGAAATCCCAAATATTCCTTTAGACAGACTCGTAAATCGCGCGGCACTGGGTCAATGAGGATTCTTCATGGTGGCAGCTTTTGCCGCAAGCAGAGTCGCAGAGATAAGCCGTCTAACTGACCCTCATCGGTGGGCACATTGCTCAAGCAAGAATAACCCAGCAGACCCATAACCACTCCCGAATAACATCTTTCAGAACGCCGACCCCTAACGCTTTGACACTTTCCCGCACGCAGGCGCCTCACAGCATTAGCACATCAACTAGAGGAGCGCAGCCCGTCTTCTACGGAGTCCAGCCCTCAAAAACAAGCCAAGATACGCCCAAACCACACTCCAGCCCTTCTAGCGCAGATGGAAACATAAATGTATTGCCGCGCGCGCAGCTGGCCAAGTAGGCAGCGCGCCCGTGGCCTAACGGCTGTCGTCCCTGGCTCGCAAAAAGCCAGGGTTCGATTTCTGGGAGCGACGCATCTTTTGTTAATCCTGCAATTTAGTTTTCCGGTAAATTCGAGAATTGTGTTGCTTGTTCGAGGTCCTAATGGGGGTTCTACGCGTCGAACATTCTACGCCGATTATTCCAGAAGCTCACGTGTAGATAAGGGGCTCCGCGTGGCGAGCCACAGTCAGTTTCGCCCCAGCGTTCGACTCTGCTGCTACGCCGACTTCGACGCCCGCGACGCTCTGTTATTATCGTTTGTACCATTTTATTTTTGGCACAAGTTCGCCACATTAAACGTTTATTTCTTCCTGTTTATTTATTGTTTTTTTTTTTCGTCACCACCCGTGACAATATTCTGCATCTTCGTTCAGCTCATCAAGGACCGCAAAATTCTGGACCCAGAAAAAAGTTTGACGGCATCGTCATCGTGAACGGCGATGACTCATGCTGGGGAAACTAGGTCGGGTTTCGGGCCGGAGATGGCGAAATAACTTTCAAAAAGTAATTAAATTACATTTCTAATTACTTTCCTGAAAACTGAAAAATGTGATTAAATTACATTACAAATTGCCACAGACTAAAGGTATTGACATTATATTACAATTACTTTCCAAAAGTAATGAAATTACTTTAACATTACATTTCAATACCTTGAGGCAGTAATTTTTGCTCATTTTATTTACCGTATACACCAACACTGTGTTTACAAACAAGCCCTCATTTCGCACACAGGGTGTGGGCACTGCGTAAGTCCAGAAACCAGATCCGGGAGAAGCGAGGCGCTGCGCGTGAGCAGCTCCGACAGGAGTGCCAAAGCAGCGATGTGACGTCAAAGAGTTTGTCTCTATGTACCAAAGCTTAGATCTTCCTGTTCGCACCGCAACAACCTTATGTGCTTCAAAGTTAACCATGCTGGACAGTCGTTTGGCTGGCGCACACGACAGAAGTGTTAAACATGATGAACAGCATCTTTAGATGTGACGAAGAAAGACAGTCGGCTCACCGGTTTCGCTGTTTATTTAGCGGCGAAGGTCTTTACTAAAAGGGTGATATGTTTCCGTCTTCCTGACTTAAAAATTGTAGTCCGTGTCACCTTGTTAATTTGGGCAGTGGCAGCTCGTTCTTACAAGAAATCTTCACGTAAAACGTTCCCCTTCCGCCTCCGGATGCAATCTAATTCTATTCTCATTCTTTTCAAGGAGCATTTTTTACAAGCACCCGGAGAGCCCAAGTTTTTGCTCATTGTCACACAAAAGGGCTAGGTAATTGCGAAGCAGAAGCCTCGCCAGTTGAGGAATGGCGCGAATTTCCTAAATTGTCTACTTTCCCAACAAACGGCGGCCGGTATCTGCTCGTAGGCTTACTCCCAAACAAACTTCCCAAAGGAAGGCCGCGAGGCATAGCGTGAGCGGCACCTGCTTTGCTCCTGGACGCACGAAACGCTCTGGGGCCTTGACAAGGCATTTGGAATTAACGATATATTCCGGTCGTTTGTTGTTCACAATGGTCGAAGCTTTACGGTTTGGCCTTGCTTGACGAAAGAACAAGGCTGGAGATACGTTTGTTCTCTCCTCTTAGGTTTTAAATTGCCCGTCACCTTGTAGCCTATGAGCCGTTCATCCCTAAGCTGACGCACTGTCAGCTTAGGGATGAATGGTGGAATCTAAGTGTTTGTTGGAGCAGCCATACGTCTATCGTTCACCACGTAACCACGCGGTCGTTCATACCCACGCGCAGAGAAAGGGACAGGTGATTAAAAGAAGGCGTTCGACTGGTTCTAGTTAACTTGCAGCTCCCACTGCACTGTCTGCTTAGGGATGAACGAAGTACAGTATCGTCGTGATGACGCGACGCCGTGAATCTGTTGTGCCTAAAGTTCGTAAGCCGTTGCCTTCCAGCGATGTCTACACGTAAGCTTTTCTCCTCCGCCTTTCCATCCCTCGTTTGCGCGTCTGTCCAGCTCTTTGTGGAAGACTTTGCGCTCAGGTGGCCTTCGCTTATTTCCTCTGATGCTTTTTGATAACATTTCACCATACAAAATATTTTTTTTCTATTTTTTTAAAGCTTGCAAGCGAACTTTTTAATTTAGAACAAAAGTAATTTCAAAAGTAATGAGTAATTTTCTCGAAATTACTGCCTGAAAGTAATTCTTTACATTACTAAATCACAAGCCTAGAGAAGTAATTCATTACATTACTCAGTACTGCGAAAAGTAATTTCATTACTGCAATTCTATAACAGTAATGTCATTACTGCCATCTCTGGTTTCGGCTCTCTTTCCCGGCCGAGATTACGACATCTCACGGGGTGCAAGCTTGTGGGACGTCGCACGAGCTTGCAAGGTGGTGCTCCCTGACGGGCGCGAAATAAACAGGCTCATACGGAGGCTCTTCCTCCTCGAGGAAGCAGCAACAACAACCCGGGCCCGACAGGATATTCTACAACGGTTTTCGAATGTTCCGATTTCCGTCCGATTCTCAGTCCATTTTTTTTTTCGCATCGGGTGTTCCAGCCTTTAAGGGCAGATTTTACACCATGCTACTTGGTGTAAAATGTTGTGAAAAAGATCAATGCTTTCCCACCAGTATCCAAGGATTGTCATTATTGAGCTGCATGAGCGTGCTAAAGGTTGAGACATGTCTTCTTATTTTATAACCAAAAACACAAAATGGCTATCGAAAAAAACTTCATATGTCAAAGGTTGATCAAACAGTTTAGTAAGCTCAAGGAACTGATATAAACCAAATTAAACGAGCTACCACAGCGGTTTTCACAATCGGGTGTCAATTGTGATAATTTTAAAACTACACATGAAATATAGGGATGGGCATATATAGGTTATAGGTTATTACCATAAAATTTACTGGATTTGCACTATTAAAGAAAAATATTATAAAGGCGTTTAATTTATTATATGAAGCAAAAAAAATAATTTTACAGTTGACTGATATAAACAGCAAGCCATTGCACTATTGCTTCTGATATACTTTTTATTATAGAACTTTTAAAAAAGCAAGCAGGATGACGAACGACAGTGAATTCTGAAGAAGTTAAGAAGCTTTCTATTGCAACCAATTAAATATTTTAACTCTACGTTTCTCTTGAGCAGCAAGGTTAATAACAAAATTTATTTGTGCTTTTAGCCTTCTGTCTAAGCATTAAAACAATGTCATCGATAAAATCCAAAAAGAAATATAATTCTGCAGCATGCACAACACAAAAAGAGGATGTCCATGACTCGGAATAATGAAGGTTTAGCTGACTTACAATGCACATTGAAGTTGAACCCGCATAAAAAATTATTCCGTAGCAGCTTACTTTGCATACTGTATTTACTGATATCTGAAACAAGTAGGAAGAATGCTAGTCATAGGCAGGATTGATTATGCGAAACATATGTTTATGTTTACCTGTCTAGATCGATATGTAATTCAAGTTCAAAGAGTTCAAAAAGGGATTCAAATTGAATCTAGAAGTTTACATTTATACACACTTGAACGACAACAACATTTATTATAGATGAATTGTCTTCTAAATATTAGGTTTCTGTTTGGCTAGAGAAGGTGAGTAATAGCATGTGCTTTTATTTCTTACAAACATATAACATGCAAAATGAGACAGGAAGTTCATCATGATTCAAGCCCTACTTATTCGTAATCTTTGTGTGGACATTGTGCAAATTGACTACATATTATATTAAGTGAAAATACAATTTACTACAACCATCATCATTAGAATTAATGCATTGTAAAATACCCATTTTAGACTAAAGGGGTTCGTTATTATTTTCACATAAGTAATCCCTTAGTTTCGCTATACTTACAGTGTCCTTGTTGAATTTGTGCTGGCTTATGATGCAACTGCCGGCAAACACTTGCTCTATGGCTACCAGTGCTGTAAAAGAAAAACGTTTTTCTTTGTTTTCCGTGATTTTCTTTATTCGCGTCTCCAGCTCGTTGCTCGCCCTCCCGCGTTGGAAACGGGAAGCGGTCTAGTGAGGGTCCCCCGATTCTCCTGCTCAGCGGGCACGGCGGAACTGCGCGCGATCATGGCTCGCGAAATGTCATTTCCGAACGCAAACAACACTCTACACTGTACCAACGCAGTGCTGCAGCCGGTATGGGAGTGTACCTTACTAGAGAGTTTTAGCATTGCGCATAGAAACAAACACAAGCGGTGTGCGTTTGCGTTAGAGTTGCTTGCACCGCGTTGTGCGTGTGCCTCATCGCCGTGCGCCATCCAAGACCGTAATTTTGGGCTCCGCGCACGCGGAGTGTGGAACACGCAAGGCTAACGCAAACACAGTGCTTGCGTTCGCTCGTATATGCAATACTAAAACTTACAACTGTTTCACCGGCTTCCAACGCCAACGAAAAGTGCTGCAGTGAGCAGGTACGTGCAAGCAAGTAGGAGTTCCTTCGAATTGGAAAGGCTGAGATTGGCAAAAGGACGCAGCGTAAAAAGTGAAAGTAACTTAATGTTATAAAAAGATTAATAATTTTTTCTTTTTTTTTTCTTTTTTTTTTTGGGGGGGGGGGGGGGGGGGGCATTTGGTTTGACGGGATATTGGCGGCGATTTTGAACGTTTTGCCGATTCTCAAAAGTCGCGACGTTGATATCAAAATATACTTCCACAATTAATGTAATTTTACATGTATTTCTCAAATTAGCTAGAATGGTTTCATTGATTTTAGACTATTTTTATATGATACTTGGTAATTAAAATGCTGCAAATGGCACCAGTGATGATAATTAGAACACCTTTAATTGTCACACTTGATCGCGCGTTTGAAATTAGATCATAAGCAACAAATTATATTAGAGCTTGAGAAATTACGTATTAAAATATCGTAATTTTAATATTATTATTATTAATTCAAATCGCGGCACTTAACGCAAGATCACGATAATACGCCATTTAACCATAATAGTCTTCCCAGAAAGGTATAATTTTATTTTATTTTTATCATATGAAAAACTCTTATGTCCTTATTAAGATAGACAAACAGTCAAACACTGGATGTAATATGCGTCACGCAACACACACACACACTTCAGCTGTCTGACTCGGATTCCGTCTTTGGGTTGTTCCAGTGAGAACAGCGTTTAAAAGTTTTGTGGTGATATTGTAAAAATTGAAATTATGCTCTTATTTTTGTGCTGGGAATAATGTTAAACCAATTAAGTATTTAAATACCCAAAAACCCATTAAAAGACCCGCTGTTCATTATTCCCCATGACAATTATCTGAGCGAGAAAAGGCAGCGAGAACGCACAAATATCAGCACTGATTTTTCAACAACTACAGCTACAAATATCAACCTGAATCGAACATGTATGTCACAAATTGAATTTCCGCAAACAACCTCTTCAACTAAATAATTACGTTGTGAGACACATCTTGAGTTATGAAAGGATCCTAAACTAAGGCCTATATCGAGAAAAATAATTCCAAAATAGAGGTTAGTTTCGGTTTCGCTCCAGAATTAAAACGCGCATCCTTGCGTAAATATTACGCTAAACACCGTTCTTGTTTTCAGGGTAAAAGAGGTGACCTGCGCTCATAACACCCTAACTTCCTCGTATTACCAGAAATAAATTGTGTTGCTCAGTGAAGCCAGCACACTAGACAGGCTCAACAGCGGCACGCATCTCCGACCCTCACTAAACCCGCCATTTTAGAAAATGAGTGGCACCACCTATAGTTAGTTGGAGTCGCGAATAAACATATGTCCCCCGTACACACTGATGGCTATAGATTACGATATTAAAATAGAACTGTGCATTTGTCACGAGTGCAGTTCAAATACACAATCTAGCCCGTGAAAAAGAACTGTTTACATGTATACAGTACCGGAGAGATACAAGAAAAAATAACTCGCAAACACTATCGCGCGGCTCTTGTATACGGTTACAGTATTGTGGTACCTGGTAAGTGTGTTCATCGACTACAACTTACTAAATTAATCCCACACAGATTTGAGCTCAAAAACGCTCAAGCACAAAGTAGGCGTCCTGCTGTACTCCCATTCGGTATTCGTTCTTTGCCAAAATTAGTCACCCGGACCAGACGTGGGCCTCATGACTCGCATTTCGTATGCCCAAATAAATAGGGGCTATTTCTCATATTCGTGGAGCATTAATGCAGAGGTGTATGTTGGGAAAGTAATTTAAAGCACCTGTCATAATATGAGCTGATGTCGCACGTCCTCTTTTTGGGTCACTAGTATTGGTGTAAGCTTTTTTAGTTAGGAAGAAAATAAGTCCTGCATGGGCAGCCCAAACCTTGGGCTATTGCCGGTTACTAATAAAAACATTAGACACCGTGTCAGCTGGGGCGTCTTCTCCTTGCGGGATAGTGATCAGGAAATAGAAAAATCATCAGGAGTTTCCACCAACAAATTTAATAAAAAGGTAAAAAAAATTTTAACTTGTATTCATAATTTTGATAAGCCCGAGGAGCACGATTCATGTGGTGCATGAACTATCCCAAGCAGCACCAGAAAGTGAATTTTGATCGGCCGACGGTTGGCCAGTGTCTGGACAGCTTGGCCACTTTAAGTGCTTGGCCACCGGAGGCATAAACAAGGCCGGCAAGGGTCCGGCCACAAACTAGCTGTTTTTAGCTTGTCCGCCGGAGACATAAACACTGCCGGCAAGCGCCTGGCCAGAAGTGCTCATTTTCAGCTTGGACGCCGGAGACATAAACACGGCCGGCAAGTGTTCGGCCAGCAGTGGTGATTTTCAGCTTGGCCGCCGGGGACGTAAACACGGTCGGCAAGTGTTTGGCCAGCAGTGGTGATTTCGAGCTTGGCCGCCGGGGACATAGACACGCCCGGCAAGTGTTTGGCCACAAGTGCTGATTTTCAGCTTGGCCGCCGGAGACATAAACACGCCCGGCAAGTGTTTGGCCAGTAGTGCTGGTTTTCAGCTTGGCCGCCGGAAACATAAACACGGCCGGCGAGTGTTTGGCAAGCAGTGCTGATTTTCAGCTTGGCCGCCGGAGACATAAACACGGCCGGCAAGTGTTTGGCCACCTGTACTGATTTCCACCTTGGCCGCCGGAAACATAAACACGGCCGGCGAGTGTTTGGCCAGAAGTGCTGATTCTCAGCTTGGCCGCCGTGGACATAAACATGGCCGACAAGTGTTCTGCCAAAAGTGCTGATTTTCAGTTTCGCCGCAGGGACACCCATAATCTAAACTTTCATCGCGTTGACGAAACTTTGTTATAACGACGGGCAGCGAGAGAAGCATCACGAGCGAGTGGTTGGGAGAATATTAGTGCGTGCATCGCGCGAACACTGTTAGCGCAAGCAAACGATCACCGTTTTATTCAGTTTTTTTTCGTTAGACTTGAAAGGCTATTGTCTTAACTAGCACTGTCGTGTGATATGTTCATTTGGAACATTATACTAGAAGTGGGAAAATATTGTGCCCGTCGTTGTTCTATGAAAATAAAATACGAAAGAAGCACCGACGTCATCTTCGCGTTAACTATACCGCTCTGTCGCCGCGCGGCACTCTTAGTGCGAATGCCACATCCGCGATTTTTCGGTTACCGCTCCACATATTTACTTCCCAACTGCACTCGAAGAAAAAAAAGTTGTAGTCGGGTGCATCGGGCGCAGATGCTCCCCTTCCCTGGAAGACGCACCCCCGTTACCCAGCCAGTGTACCTGTATACCGACCATAAGCCCCCTTCTCTACCTTAAAAACCTATAGATGTATCAATGCACTCAGCTTAGTAAACCGCCACGCTAGCCAGGCACCCCGATCAGCTTGTGCTTGAATCGGATAAGATTGGATATTTCAGACTTTGTGTTTTGGAAGAGCCTAAACAAGACGTCTCTCATATATTGATTAAACTTAAGCTAGTCTCAGTAATGTTTCATATAGGTGCTAGGATACTGATTTCCTGAGCCAAGGAAAGCTAAAAGCTTCGGTTAAAACCGCAACGGAAATGTTATAAATCGAGCCACACGTAAAAGAAAAAGAAAATGAACATCTCGACCTAGATGTGCAGAACGCTGGTTTTGTTGTTAACAACGTGATTGTTGGCGGGTGGTGGGCAACGCCGTGACGCTATTGACGGTATCGTGGTGATTGACGCCAGTGATGCTCGGCCGTACTACACAGTAAAAGTTTTTACACCTTTAAGGGTGTAAAATGGGCGTTGTAGCAACTTACACCCTCGGCTACACCTTTTTAACAACCTAAAACTAGGAATACAACCTCATAATTTTACCGAAAAAGGTGCTGTTTCGTGTTACACCCTACATTTAGTGAAGAATGTGAGAAGGGTGTAGAAGAGGGTGCTAAATAAATAATGTGAAATGGTTTTGGAAAGCTTATATATGGCTCTGTACATAATGTACAGGTAAGATTTCTGCTTGAAAAGCAACAGTTGTTAGCAGTCTAGTTTCTTATAATGTCAGTTGTAATTCATGCAAATAGCTGATAATTAAGTGCCTCTTTTGCATACAATTTTTATGTTTGAAAACAAAATTTTATATATGAGTTCATATTTAATTTTCTTACAAATCACTCCATGCTCAGAAATCGGAAAGTAGGGTGAAATGCTCTATACTAGCATTTTTTACAAATATTGATTGATGGAAGTGTACAGTAAGAAAATCAGTTAGTCTCGAGTTTATATCTGGCAACATGAAATCAAAATATTGTGAAAATGTTTGACAAATATTCATGACATGCTGCTAGAACCTGTCTCATGACCATGTCAACCCGAGTAAAATATTCATTTGAGAATATGGTGACATGCACAAAAACTCACACACATAACGAGGCAAATCCCATAATAAACCAGGCCGAGACATCCCATAAAAATGGCCTATGGTCGTCTATGGGAAATTCAATGGGAGGCTATCACCCCC